GATCTGGGGAGATGCTGATACTGCTTTTAATACTCTTAGATCATTTCAATTTGTGTTTATTTTGCATTTGATAAAAGATATCATGGGAATAACTAATATCCTTTGTTAAGCTTTGCAACAAAAAGATCAAGATATCGTAAATGCTATGCAATTGGTTTCGAGTACAAAACAAATCATTCTGAAATTGAGAGAAAATGGTTGGAACAAGTTACTTGATATTGTTAAATCATTTTGTGAGTGCCACAACATTGATGTGCCTGATTTAAGTGTTCCTTATACCAAAAAAATTAAGGGTCAGTTACGTCACCCACAAAAGAATATTACATTTGAGCACCACTATCGGATTGTTATATTTTATGGCACAATTGATTCACAATTGTAGGAGTTGAATAACAGATTTAGTGAAAAGGCAATGAAAATTGTTACTCTCAGCTCAGCTTTAGATTCTAGAGATGGTTACAAGTTCTTTAACGTTGAAGACATTTGCACGCTTGTAGATGAATTTTATCCTCAAGATTTCACGGACCAAGAGAGGATTATGTTGACATTCCAATTGCAACATTATGAGGTTGAAATGATTGTTCATTCATATTTGAAAAATATGTCAACGATTTCTTAACTATGTAGAGGATTAGTGGAAACAAAGAAGTCAAAAATCTACTTTTTGATTGATAAGTTGATTCGTCTTGTCTTGACTCTTCCCGTTTCCACAGCAACTACAGAAAGGGCATTTTTAACTATGAAGCTTGTCAAAACACAACTGCGCAACAGGATGGAGGATGTGTTTCTTGCAGATTACTCGAGTGTCAGTATTGAAAAAGAAATTGCTCAGACTTTTAGTACAGATTCAATTATAGATGATTTTTTTTCTCTAAAAAATCGTCGAGCTCAGCTTTTGTAGTAGTTGTTTGGTCTTTCAGGTTTCTTTTTGTATTTATCTATGTCATATTTGACTAAATATATGTCAATTATTGTATTGTAAACAAATTGGCCAAATTTTGGCTAAATATATTTTTGTATGCATCTAATCGATCAAGAAGTACTTTTGACTTAAAATATTATTATATTATATTAGTAAAACTGTTAATACTCCGACCCCCCCCCCTGCATTGAATCCTGGCTTCGCCCCTGAACACCACCACTCTCTGAGGAAGAAGAGTAAAGCAACATAGAGAGTAAAAAATGAACTGAAATCCTGCAAACCCAGATCTCCAAAGATCCAATTTCATCGTAATTTGAATAACTTCAGTAAATCAGACGGTCTCCGATAATGATTGCTTTGGCAGTGGGCACGACGGCGCAAATATCGCTGGGCTATCGTGTTTCTCATGAACATGGATGCAGCCGTTAGATTGCAACAATTTGGGATTTTGATCACCGGAAAGGACATGCCTCTTCCTCATTTCACCGGAGATGGTGGTTCTGTCCACCGTCAGAAAATAGCCAAAAAAAAAGGGAACGAGAGAAGGGGATAAAAAATATATATATATGAAAATAAAAAGGAGCAAAAAATTGAAAATAAATGATGATAAGGTTGATGTGCTGTCAATTTTCTAGTGGACATTGAAATTATTTTGCCATATCAGCAACTGAAGTTGGATGGAATTTAAAACAACATAGTTCAATTTAAGGGCTAAAAGGTAATTTAATTTTTCATTAACGGCTCATTGACACTGTATTCTCATATACAACAAAATGATAGTTTAAAGGATTTTACTTACTTCAGGAGAATTTTTTACAATTTCTTACAATTAGATCATAGTTTAGGAGGGTTTAGTGCATTTTACCCTTCTCATATTTATATATTCTATAATATTATAAAGCTCTGGGACTTGTATTTTGTCGGCGTTTACTTTGTCTTTAAAATGACAAAAGAAAAAAAGTGCTTCTCTTTCCCTTGTTCTTGTGTTTTATATTTCTATATTTATAGAATCTGTTTGTGGTCAGGTTAGAGCCGTTGCAATGTTTGTCTTGAGGCACATGTAGGGATGGCAATTTGCTAGCCCCATTAAGTACTCGTCCTGCCCCGTCTCGTTTTTGGCGATTCTGGAGAATCGTTTAACTTATTTGAGTGGAGATGGTTTAATGTATTGAAAATTCGCGTAGATTAAGTGCGAGGGCGGGGGAGGTCGCCCCACCCCGCCCCACCCCGTTTAGATAGATAAATTACTTAAGCACCTTTATTTCATTAGTATATATATTTCACATTAGTACCCTTATTTCATTAAAATATATATATATTTCATTAGTATATATATTGAGACAGTTTGTTTTGCAACAAAATATGAAAATTTGGAATAAGTAGCTTGCGCGATCATTTAGAAAGTTTTTAATGTTAATTTTATGCTAAACTATTTATTCTTTTTTTTTTTTATGAATCTTTTCAATAATTTTATAATTTCAATTGATAAAAAAATTAAATGAAGGAGAATTTATGGTCTTAAACAAGGCGAGGCAGGTACTCGCAGAGGTAAATATGTTAAACGGAGGCAGGAATGGGGTGAAAAGTTTCCCGTTTTTACGATTTTGGGTAAAGACAGAGTGGGGTTTTTAAATAGTTGCGGGGGTGGGGGAGGGTACACTCGCCAAACCCGTCTCCATTGCTATCCCTAGGCACAGAGAGTTAGTTACAGGTAGAAAGAGAGACTTGCAGCATATAGCGCATGTGATTATTCTAAATAGGGGTGGCAAACGGACGAGTTGGGCCGGGTATAGGCATGGTCAAATATCGCACAACCCATATTCGTCTCGTTTGTAATGGGTTATGTGAAATGGATCGGGTCAATCCGTTATGACCCGCCAACCCGTTTTAGGAAATAAAAAGTTATTATTTTGGATAATCTCATTATAGTTATATAAATATTAATTAACATAAACCAAAATATCAAAACAAAAAATTTTGAGAGAGAGGACAACAAAGAGAGAAAACTTTTTTTATTTCCTTTTGCTTTTTCTATACATCTGGACACACACTGACACCCATATATTTATATATATAGCCATAAGCTAAACTTACAAAGCAAGCTAAGAAAACAACTTGCTTACATGTATTTAATATGTTCACACCTACAACATTATATATACAAGGTACCTATACACATAATTCAAATCGGCGCACCAAATTTTCTCCATAGTAGGCCACACTACTAATTTCATTTCTTCCAAATTTTCATAAATAGTGAACCCCACACCATATATATATATATATATATATAACAATTATTATAATTTTTTTATTTTAGATGGATAAAAGCTCGTAAAAATATGCATAGATAATTGTAAATCCTTTAATTTATTTTGAAAATTCTTTACATTTATATTATTTTATTTTGTGATTAGACATGCATGAAGGTAAGATATTATTTATTTCTATATATATATATATTATGAAATCATTTGTTATGCTTTTTATAGAATAAATAATTAGATGAATAAATTAGGTCGTCTTATTTTGAAATACAAATGTAAACATAGATTTCTTTCGAACCGTAGTATTACATACACACGAGGAGGAGTTCATGATGCAAAGTGAATCTTAAAGAGAGAATTTTAGAAAGAAATAGTAGGAGAGAGAGAATTTGAAATCATGTGGGAGAATTTTAGAAAAAAAGAAGTGAATGTGAGTCAAATAGAGGTTGTAAAACTGCCTCTTTTATAATGGGTGAAATATGGATCAAAATGGATGACTCATATTCAACCCATTTAACCCTCTATAAAAATGAGTTGAATATGAATCATCTATTTTGATCCATATTTTAAAATAATTCATCCATATTAATTTTTAAGTGGTCTAATAATGATTCTATTTGTATTTATCTAATTGGGTGGATTTTGATTGCTTTTATGTTATGTTGAAAACTTCAGGTAGGAGGCTTATTAGGTGGAGCTGCCACTGGATGGCTTATTGGTCCTGCATGGCCATCATCAATACGAAAAGAAGTGGTAAAAATAGTGATGGACGAAGAAGAGTTTTTGCTGACAGGGGGCCAATTTTCTCCGTCGTCAATACGAAAAGAACACCACCTCTATAGCGCACTTAAATGGCTTATTGGTCCTTATTAACACATTTGTGTACATTCATTTAACAAAGTTATTTTTACATTTTCATGTTTTTGTAATTTATTGTCTTTGAGTCTCTTTGTCCCCTTACATGTTCGGAAGGAGGGTTTTATTATACACAAACTCTCTTGCAAGCTTTATAGCAAAAGCCCACAATGCCCATAAGAAAGCAGAAAATGATAAGTACTCCAAGAATGAAACACAGGCTACATTTATTATCATAAAGGATAATGTTTTTAACGTAAACATAAATCACAATCAATTCACTATTTATTTAGTATTTATTTTTCTTCAATTTGCTCAATTTAAATATTGTATATTCTATATACACTTTCCAAGCCAAACTGCCAAACTGACCTTCATACAAAACCCTAGCTACCTCCTGGCAAAAGTAATCATATTGCCATACATGCTCCAACTGCTATATTCTAATAAGCTGTAATTTTCTGAAATTTTTCTATATTTTTTTAGGAATTTATTTGATTTATATTCATATTTTTGGAATATATATATATATATATATATATATATATATATATATATATTGGTTATTTATATACACTGTTACACTGTATCGGTGCATTCAATTAGGGATTTTGATTTAGCGCGTCGCGGTACATAGCACTTTGGTGCACCACAAATCAGGACCATCCAAGATTGTCCTGATTATTGAATGAGGATCCAGTGTGGCGTGTACATAGGAGAACGGTGCACACGCTGATCTGGGCCGTGGGTGGAGTTGATGGATGGCGGAGGATGATCTGGTGCGGCGCGGTCCGTGGAGAGACGGTGAGCCTGCAATGCAAATTTAATGGTGGGAGAAGATACGGTGTGGACGAGCTCACCATGACACGGAGGAACAGCTAATGAAGAGCTGCCAAAAAAATAAAAAGCTGTCTTCTATATAAATAAACCAAGCCCATCCCGTGCAAGAAGCGTAATCGTAGTCCTTTGCTCTACTCACCCCGTTCAAGCAATTGGGTTGCTGTTTTTTTGTCCGATTCTGGTTGCTCGCAGATTGTTCGGAAGGCGAGTTCTTCTTCTCCTTCTCCTTCCGATCATCTTCTACGGCCCCCGATCACCCATATATACCGTCTCTGGTCGTGAACTTCTCCGGCGAGTTGTTCTTCTCCGTCCGATCATCTTCTCGTTCTCTCCCTTGTTCAAGAATGGAGTGCGACACACCGTATGATGATTCGTGCGCTGCACGGTTGGGGGACTCTTCAATCATTCCCATGGCCGACCCAAAACCTTACACACAATTCTACGTAGACTTCCAAGTACGGTTCACATATCCTCCGTCGGATTTCATGGACGACGATGATGATTCGGAGGAGGATATCGATTGCTTAGAGTCGGAGTGGCGTTCTATGCAATTTTGGGTTCCATGTGACCGAATGACGTGTCACAACAATAGTACATGGTCCACGATATCAGATATGCTGTGTGACCTAGGTGTCCCCTTACGTGTTCAGCCTTTCATGATTTCTCGTATCATCATTCCATCGGCCGAATCAATGGTGAAACAAAATCTTGATAAAAACGTAATACCCATGGTGGTGTCGATAGATGTAGTGGGCCGTCCAGAAGAGGAAGATGAAGACGAAGATACAATGGTGCCAATGGAGTCGAGGCGAGTGCCGGCTAGCGAGGCATCCATTGAGAACTTAGAGAAGGTGAAAGTCAAACATTCAGATACTAAGATGCAGTGTGTGATATGTTTGGAACAGCTTGTGGTTGGTTCGGAGGCAACCCGGATGCCTTGCTTGCATGATTTTCATAGGGATTGCATTGTTAGATGGCTCGGAGCTAGTAATTTCTGTCCACTGTGTCGCTTTCGGATGCCTACTTGAAGTAACTTTTGAGATTACTACTATGTGACACGCCTGATGTTATTATCTGTATTATTGATCAATTGATTGTTATTGTTTGAGAATTCGTTTTCTTTTTTTCTTTTTTTTGCTAGCTAAAGTTTCCAACTCCATGTTTGTTCTTGTGAAGATCCATGTTCTTGTAAACTATCCATATTCTAAATGAAGAAACTATCCAGCTTTTGACCTATGGAGGCATTGGCTAGGGTTTCGTCTCACTTTCGATCTCACGTGAATTCTACTTGAAAACATTGATGAAAACAAGTATCAGTATTCGAATCCTTTCATTATGGAGGGAGGTTTGGTGTACTCCCGAGCCCAAAATGGAAAAAGGAAATCTAAGAGGGAAGATAAACATGTTTTATGGAAATCAAACCAAGAAACATCCCATGACTACTATTTTCTTGATGACTCTTCCACTACAGTCCACAGAACATTTATGCTTTCCAAGTGACTGTGCTTCCTCCAAGAAAACCTCAGGCAAAACACACACACATACAAATTAGCAATTAACTGCCAAAAATACTATTAAAGGAGAACTGGGACATGTCTCAATTATACAAATGGGATACACATCTTAACTATATGCACCTATTGATAATTTCCAAATTCCCAATGCTTCAAAACTTAAAAGGCAAAGACTAAACTTCATAGCTGACAATTTTTCTTTAATAATATTTATTGTTTTAGTGGGAGATTGGAGTTATTCTTTCCCAAGTAATTTCAATATCCATTATAAGCTCCATACCCTCATATGTACATATGAAATTGCCATTTTCCAAAACTAATAAGATTTAAAATCTTTTGAACATCCTTACAACCAAATAAGAAAATCTAATATCCTACAACGGCTTCCTTCATTGATCAGATCTCCTATGAAACTGATGCAAAATTCAATATTTTCACAGTGACTACAGCTAGGCAGTTGAAATTTGACACTTCCTGGTTTACTCCTCAGGCAAATCTCGCTGAAATATATAGCTTCTTGAAAAATATCTTCTTAGATCTTACAGCTCACGAAACAGAACTCATGATGACAGACATCACTGGGAGAAGCCAATTTTCAAACCTGGTTCTCACCCAAGCCTCACCAACTGGTGTCTGTAACTCCTTATGTACAGTTTTAATCAAATGACTCCCTATGTACCTAGTGCCTCCTCATGGGGCACTATATAATTTTATATGTTCTTTACATCTAAATAATCTATTAATTCCTTCCTACTCTACCTATTCTTTCAATAGAGAAAAGGAAATTAATACAGAGTACATAACATGCAAGTCGAACTTTCTTTTTCTCCTTTCATCCTTAGGTTAGCGTGGGAACTAAACCTGCACCACTTCTGTCTCTTTCTTGTCTAGCTGCTCGTCAATCCTTTGTCAATCATTGGTTCAAATCCATTACCCGAATTAGAGAGTCGAGTAAAGACAAGTAGTCCACCCGGTTCACCTGCTTGCCCTAACCTAACCGTCTAACGAGGAGAGAAGCTAACACATCTCCCGATCCATGAAACAAGGCTGAGGCCTCTTATTGAATTACTTGATGCAACACAAGGGAAGGTCCTGTTTTAAATCGTTTTTCCACAAGTCCGCAGGTCAAGCAAGATCCAAGTCAACCTCTCTTGTGCACACACATCATATAAACATATACAAAAAAATAAAAAATAAAAAAAATAAAGGAAGAAGAAGAAGAAGAAAGAAAAACAAAGACCATCTACTGATCTCTCCCAAAACAAACTACAGAAGAATTTTCCAAATACAATGGCCCTCCCCTAAGCCAAATACAAGGAAGACAATGACATATGTCCAAATCTCAAAACTGTCTGAGATACTATTACTGGAGAACTGAGACGGTGTTAATTACACAAATGTGATATGCATCGTAATTTCTTAAATCATTCTGGTAGGGATATTAAAGGAGGGACTCATCTATCTTTAATACTTTGTCACTTAAAGAGTAAAATGCATAACCAACATGCACCTATTGATAACTTGCAAGGCTTCAAAAGTTAAATGGCAAAGACTAACTTCATATCTGACACTTTTTATTCAATAATATATATATATATATATTAGGTGAGATTAAAGTTATTATTTCCCAAGTAATTTCAATATCCATTATAAGTTCCATACATAATCTCTCCACCCTAATATGTACATGTGAAATTACCATTTTCCAAAACTAATAAGATTTAAAATATTTGAAACATCCTTCCAACCAAAAAAGAAAATCTAGCATCCTACAACAGCTTCTTTAGTGACGAGCTCCTATGGCACCGGTACAAAATTAAATATTTTCACAGTGATTACAGCTAGGCAGTTGAAATTTGACCCCCCTTGGTTTACTTCTCACTGTAGTTGTTTGTGCATATGATGGAACCACTTGGTCATTAAATCAGGCAAATCTCGCCGAAATATAAAGCTTCTTGAAAAATATCTTTTTTAAATCTTACAGCTTATGAAACAAAACCATAATGATAGACACCACTGGGAGAAGCCAATTTTCAAATCTGGTTCTCAGCCTGGAGTCTATAACTCATTGTCATTTACAGTTTTAATCAAATGACTCCATATGTTCCTAGTGCCTCCTCATGGGACACTATTCAATTTAAATGTTCTTTAAATCTAAATATTCTATTTCCTTCCTAGTCTACCTATTCTTTCACTAGATAAAAGAAAATCAATACAGAGCACACAACTCATGTGCACACATCATATAAACATATACAAAAACAAACTACAGAAAAATTAAAAAATGGAGATGGATAAATTATGAGTAAAAACAATCATATGCATTTTGATGAAAGCTTGATTCATAATTTTCCAAAATAATTTCCACAACATCTGGGCTTCAATTCCTAACCAAAAGAGGTTAAAAAAGTAATCAACTATTAAGATGAATGGGGATAAAGAAAACATTATTTACAGATTACCGACTTGCATGATGGCAACGGTGAGATTGACGGCGAGGCTGGTGGTGGAGATAATAACTCTTTCCCACTCCCCTTGTCCTGGCCTGGACTGGAACCATAGGATACAGCAGGTATAGGAGAAAGATCTGGGGACAGCTGTGATGGGGGACCCATGGAAGGTGGATATGCAGCAGAAGCATGAGGTGAAAATGTAGGAGCAGTCGGGTTAGAATGAGATGCTGGTGAGGGGGCTTCGTTGAACTGTGGAACCACAATGTAGACTAGAGCGAGGGGAATGTGTATTTACAATTGAAGGTGCAGGAGAACTTGAAATCGGAGGTAAAGAAGGGTGGAACCCATTTTCCGGTCTTGGTGCATATGGAAAGTCATCATCAGACGGCGAAGAAGCATCACAGTTTAAACAAGGTGGCGAGTGATGAAAATTAGGTGAGGGAACTGGAGAATAAGATGGAGAACGAGAAGCATATGGGAAATAAAGGCTTCTGCATAGTCATTTTCCTCAGGAGATGGAGCAGGAGCAGGAGCAGGAGCTGGAGAAGGAGTTGGGGTTGCATCAAGTGTACGATTGAGATAGGAAGATAACCTAATTTCCTTAACTTTACCAAAAACAGAGTTACTGAGGCCAAGATTTTTTGCAGGAGACCCTACGATTGTTTCAGCCAATTGCTTCAATCTTTGTGGCAGAAGCCTTCCCATGTCTGACATAACCGAAGCCTGAACTGTGACTGGGGGAGCTCTTGTTGACCCATTTTTGTTTGTCACCTGCACATACACATTCTGCATGCAAAACAAAATCATTACCACACCATATAGAGAAATACATATTACGTAAGGGGTGTCAATAACTGATTAAATAACTAAACTGAAGCACACTCTAATATTAGGATCTCAAACCATTGTATTGGTCCATAGAATAATTAGGAATTTGGGAAACCTGTGTCGAAAATTATTTACCCAGTTAGCATACCCACTATTCTGGTGGATGAATCATGAAGAAGACAACAAAAATAGCCACTATAAAAAAAAAGGCAGTACATATACTGAATTTGAAAAATTGTATTAGTGGTAATAAGGAAAATCATAGAAGAGATGGTAAAACTTGCATACTCGCATCAGCATTATTTCATGAAATACTAAAACTGATCCTATGCCATCAACAAATTTATTGAAAGCTCAAGAAGCACTAAGATGCCAAAATCTCCAATAGCCTAAGCACATGGCATAACACAAGGCGTGGGCATGAGCAAATTAAGGCACAAATGACATAGTTGCATATCAGATATATTGAAAAATATAAAAATTAAATATGCAACACAAACAAGTGAACATCAAAATAAGAAATTTTTTCGGCATTTCAACTCAGTGGATTAGTAACTAGGAAGCATGGACACTCCTCTTGGGCATGAGTATGCATGGGGCACACAGCCGGACATGTCCAACATGGCTCAATTGAATTTCTTTTTTTTCCCTAGTAGGACACACAACAAGGACATTGTGGGGGCACATTTAAGACACTTCGGTGACATGGGCGTAGTTTTGCATTTAAAAAAATAAAAAATAAAATATACCAATGCAATTTCAAAACATATTATAAGTTAAACATAAAATTAATACAATGTTTTAGAAAACAAGAACACCACCAAATTGTATTCATAATAATGTGATTTCTTAAAATATTAAAATACTTAATTTTCGGCACTTAATTTTCAAATTTATCAACCAGCACATTAGGGTTCCTTGACATGGTAAGTCGTCTTATTAACATACTACAACTCTATGTAATTTCTACCACATATCTAGTTCGACATTTATAATTGAGTTCGTAATACTAGTGACTAACCCAATCCTTTTTGTTATGATATATTTCACCAATGCATCTGCCATCTCATATAACTAAGAAAGTATGAAAAGCAAGCCATCCATATGTGAGCAAACTTTTTTCCCTCAGATAGCAAGCCAAGTAAAAAGGCACATTTATACCATGCCATCAGAAGAAAAAAATTAAAAATGGAGATGGATAAATTATAAGTAAAAACAATCATATGCATTTTGATGAAAACTTGATTCATAATTTTCCAAAATAATTTCCACAACATCTGGGCTTCAATTCCTAACCAAAAGCAAATACTTGCAACTCAAATAAGCATCGAGTAATAACTTATGTCAGAGGTTAAAAAAAGTAATCAACTAATAAAATGAATGAATGGGGATAAAGAAAACATTATTTACAGATTGCAGTACCGACTTACATGATGGCGATGGTGAGATTATAGTTTTTGCCAAATCATGCGTCAAAATGGACCCAGGTTTACACATCATCCATATTCGAACCAAAAACACTCTTCAATGCTAAAATTGACGGTACAAGACGTTTATCAACGCTAGCAGTTAGAATCCATGGTTGAGAAGAAACAATTTCCACAACATCACTAGAAGAAAAACCCAAGTCTCGAACAAGTTTTATTTTGGGTTTGATGGAGCGCTCAAGATTTGCAGAGAGAAGTTGAGGCACGCGTTTGATGACGCACTAAATACTAATTTCCTCAAGAAATGAAAGAAACGAATTGGTCTTTTCATGGCTTTTCAGATACTTTACGACGGAAGAGACTTTCGAAGCAGTTTCAGGAGAAAATTTGTGTCTATCAATCAAGTAATCGGCCACCGCAATTTGGTTGGAGAGGAAGAGAAGAAGGGGAAAGAAATTCTGGAATAGTTGAATATGGACGTCAACCCTTATATATATACATATATATACATATTTGGTAGGTAGGCAATCATACACAATTTTTGCCCCAATTGGAGCTTGAACCCTCAAGCTTCCCTTTGGGGAGGTGCTTGGCTTGGTGGTGGACAAGTTCTATGTACTTATTTTTCGCAGGCTTAATACGTAATTGTCTTATTTTAATTTTTTACTCTCTCCTACTTTACTATGTCAACGTTTACACTGTTTTTGAAGCATAAGGGATGATTTGATGTATTGAAAATTCACGCGAATTTGGTGCGGAGGAAGGGGAGGTTGCCCTATTTCGTCCCGCCTCGTTTAGATAGATAAATTATTTAAATACCTTTATTTCATTTTCATTAGTATATATATTTTACATTAGTACCCTTATTTTATTAGGGTATATATTTCATTAGTATATATATTGAGACAATTTATTTTACAACAAAATCTGGAACAAGTAGCTTGCGCAATTATTTAGAATGTTTTTAATTTTGAATTTTAAGTTTCTCTACTTTTTTTTTTTAATCTTTTCAATAATTATATAATTTAGTTGATAAAAAAAATTAAATGAAAGAGAATTTATGGTCTTAAACAGGGTGGGACGGTAACCCGCAGAGGTAAATATATTAAACGGGAGCGGGGATGGGGTGGAAAGTCCCTCCATTTTTGCAATTTTGGGTGAGGAAAGAGGTGAAATTTTTAAACGGTTGCAGTGGAGAGGGAGGGTACATCCGCCCAAACCCACCCCCGTTGCCATCCCTCGACACAGGGAGCTGGTTAAAGGTAGTAAGAAAGACTTGCAGCATATAGCGAATGTGATTGGTCTAAATAAGGGTGGTAAACGGACGGGTTGGGTCGAGTTTGGGTAGGTTCAAATATGGGCCGGTTGAATATAGATTGTGACCGATATTCAACCCGTTTGTAATGTCTTAAATATAGGTTATGTTAAATGGGTCGGGTCAATCTGTCATGACCCGCTAATCCGTTTTAGAAAGGAAAAAAAAAATTATTATTTTGAATAATCTTATTATTGTTATATAAATATTAATTAACATAAACAAAAATATCAAAACAAAAAATTTTGACAGAGGGAGAGAGCACAGAATGTAGAGAGAGAAAACTTTTTTTATTTCTTTTTGTTTTGTTATTTGCATAGTACTTAAAGTATGGGTCAGTGTCACCATTATGAAGAGCAAAACTATTATTACATTTGTCAAAACCTCATGGAGCATCTGCACCGCCCCTAGCTATAGCCCAATTTTGGTGATTTGGAACCCCAAATGAGGTGCAGCGGGCTGGTGAAAATGGGAGGGGCCCACACCGGCTCGTGGAATACCGCGAGCCCAAGCCTGATCAGGGAATTTTTTTTTTTGTTTGTTTTTGCCTTTTACCAAAATGGCAACGTTTTGTGTGAAGGTTTCTTTTTTTTTTTTTTTTTTTTTTTTTTTAACGGTTAGAAAGGCACTGTTTGGCAGGATGGTTTTTTTTTTTGGGAAAAACCCAAAAAAAAAAAAAAAATTATTTGGGCCAAAAATAAATTAAAAAACCTTTTTTTTTTGTTTTTTTCCCTTAAAAGTTGTTTTTTTTTTTAAAAAATAAAAAAAAATTGCTTTAAATTTTAAATTTCTGCCACAAACAATGCATTTGGCCGTTAAGGCACTGTTTGGCTAACACAAATAGTGCTTTAAAGGGTGTAATTTTTTTATAAAAAAAAGTTTAAAAATTTCAATTTTGTAAAACTTTTTTTAAAAAAAATAATTAAAATTAAAAATTCATTTTCTTATTCCCATAGGATTTTGTAATCCTTATTTTCTTATTTCAATTCATTATTTTTAATCTTAAAAAACCATTACATAATAAAAATTCTAATACACGAAATGAGTATTCATTATATAACATGAAAAATATAGCCGTTTTGAATATAGCAGTTAGAAATATAGCCGTTTAGGAAAAGTTTTAAAATAATAATAATAATTTTTTTTTTTTTTTTTTTAGAATGAAAATTCTAAGAACCTGATAGAGTGCATGTTTCTAGAGAACGAAAGTTACTAACGTGGCTCTTGAAATTGCTAACGTGATTCTTGAAAAAACTGAAGTGGCATTTTTGAAGAGCCAAAATCCGGAGAAGCTGGTGCAGATGGCCTTACCACACATTCTCCATGTCCAGTCGCTATTGTCAACATTGCCAACAACAAAAATATTTATTACACTTGCCAAACCACCTATACACCTCTAAAAACCTTGCCAATCTAGTGATAATTGTAGTGAGTTTTTTATTTTTTATTTTTTGAAACATGAATATTTACAAATGGACAATATTTAGATCCTCGCTAGTGAGGATTTATAGTATATTCACCGTTGATATAGACCAATAATAAATGGACATGTGATATTTAATTATCAAATCAAGGATGGTGGATAGATATTCACTTACTAAATCAGAGAGGTGATTTGATAACCATCTATAATCTGGTAATTAAAATAGGATGTGTCCATTTGTTATTGGTCCACATCAGCGGTGAATATACTGTAAATCCTCATTAGTGAGGACATAAGTATTGTCCTTTACGAATATTGAACCACACATATAATAGTTTGAAAATGAATTGTGTGAGATGTATACAATAAGATTACGTACCAAAAGTCAATAGTAGATCACACAAATAAATTTATATACATTCTGTAAGAAAAAAATTGTCAAACTAAAATATATTATAGTAATCAGCTGAAAAGAAAACGTATTATAGAAAATTTGTAAGGGATCAATCTCTCAATTCCCTTTTCATAAGGGTTCTTAGTTTTTTCTGAGTTCTCTGTTGTGTCAGAGTTTTCTTTCCTCATTTCCTTCCTTTTGTTATGCCTTTGTTTTTGGAAATTTTCGTTTTGGTATGACGATCGTTAATAGGTACTCGAGGTTTCATATTCAATTAGGCCATGGGGTTCTGTTCCTGTGTGGTTATGGTGGAGTGTACTGCCTGTGTCCGATCTCTGGTTTTATTTTTCGTTAGATCGACTTCTCTTGCTATTTGTTTGGTTGGCTTCATGGCGACGACGACTGGATTCCGTTATAGGGGATACTATCTGCTGGCCACTCCAATTGCGTCTGCTTCTTATGCAATCTGGTGTGCTATGGGTTTTTTGGTTGTTCTTTTCTAGGGTTGATTCAATTTGGCCGCTGCTAGGGTTTCATAGTAGGTTGAGATCATGGTGGAGATCTTGGTTGGTGAGGATGTGTGCTCGGTGGAGGACGCGTCCCTGGGAAGGTTTCTGGTGGGACTGGCTGGGTCAACCCCACGTGGGGTACTCAATTACCTCAAAGCCCCAACCTATCATTTCTTTCCTCGATCAGGTGTTTCACGTGGGCATACTTAAGGTTCTCTTGCAATTTGTGGCTCGAATTAGGCCGCATTTTTCAGCAACTGCTTTTCATGACATCATCTTTCATACTTGTGATAGGGAATTTTTACCTTGTGTTCAATTGCTAACCGGGTTCTCTGCTTTTCTAGTAAGTTCTCTTCTAGGGCTATATCACCTTGGTTATCTATGTTACCTTTTTGGTTATTCCATGGTTGTGAACTTGCATCGAAAGAGAGGGTTGAAGGTGTTATTGTGTTGTCTTTTTATCCTCTTGCTTTTATTGGGATTATGGAGTCCTCCTTGATTGATCAACTGAATGGCCTGAAGCTTACGCGTGAGGAGCAAAAGCCAGTTCACTTATCGGCCGAGGATATTGCACAAGGAGTGACTATGTGCTCTAACAGTTTATTTAGAAATGTTTGGTCTTCGAAGACTATCACTTTGGCTGGTGCCAAGTACACATTCGAAAGGTTGTTCCAAAAGTTGTGGCCCAAAGAAAGACAGACTGAATCCCTGTCCACGCGTCTTATAGTTTATGAAGTTGCAAGGAATTTGTTTCAACTCGTCATTCCGGATAGTTTGATTCGCCACAGGCTCCTTTAAGGTTGTCAATGGTTGTTTGATGGGCATCTACTTCTGCTCAAAGAATGGGAGGATGGTCTATTACTATCTGAGTCATCGTTTCATCTCTCGCCATTTTAGCTAATTACTTTTCTGAAAAGGTTGGTCGTCGCATTACTGACACGTTTGGACGGTGTTTGAAGGTGAAGCTTCAAGACAAGGGAATGATCGAGAGCAAAGAAACTTTTCTGGTTGATAGTAGGGTTCTCCGCCTAAAGGTGAAATTGGATATTACTAAACCGCTTCGTCGGAATGTTAGGCTATTGGGGCCGTTGGATACGGATTTTTGGGTTCAATTCGCTATAAAAAGCTTCCGTCTTTGTGCTTTGCTTGTGGGCTTATTGGGCATAATTGGAAGTCTTGTGCTATTGGTGCTAATTGATTCCCTGCGGATTTGATGGATTATGGGTTTTGGTTAGGTGTGGAAGGATATTTGGGGAAGGATATTTGGAATCCCGAAAGTAATAGGGTTAAATCTTTGGCTGTGAGTAATGGGAAGAATTGGATCTATGTGGAGGGTGAGGATTCGGATGGTTTCTTTAGTGGTCTCCCTCAGGATAGGCATCGTGGCGGGGTTCATTTTGATAATGTTTCTGTTGTGGACAGGGCGTTATCTACTATGGGTGAAATTGCGTTGGCAATGGCTAGGGATGGAAAAGGTGAATGTTCAAATGCTCCAATTGTGGTTCTCCAGTAGGCGATAAAGAAGTTGTGGGTCCTGGGCAGTCTCATGTGTGTGCTCAGGTGGGTATAGATGTGCATGGCAAGGCCGATAATGGAGTACACGGTTCCCCCTCTCAGAGCTTTGTTGCTTCAGCGTATTTTGAGGAACCAGTCCAATGTGTACCATCTGTTTCATAGGGTAAATGGCAGGTGTTACCTTTAAAGAGGTGGGATCAACTTTCCAAAGGTGGTAAAAAAGGTAAGGGTCTGACTGTGTCCCGTAAAGGCAGGTCTTCTGACTCTTCGGCATCGTCTCAAAGGAAGGGTTCTTCCCCGGCGAGGACCAGCCGTAAGCGTCGACCACTCATACATGGTTCTGCACCGAGATCTAGTACGCTTGATGGGAAGAAGCCTAAGGTTTCATTGGCTCATCCTCAGGATGGTTTGTTTACGGATCAATTTTCGTTTGGTGTTGCGTGTAACATTCCACTTGTTGTGCATAGTGGGGATTCTGGTTATTCTAACTCTTCTCCATCGCAGTATTTTGCTATGCAATTGGCGTTTTTGGTTGGGAATGCTCAGCCTAGGGCCACTGATTCAAACTAATTTGTTGGTTGTCTTGTTTTTGCTGGTCTTGTTGTTTTTCTGTTTTGTTGGGTTTGTTCAGTTAGTTTGCTATAGCTATGTTTTGTTTCGTTGTTATGTTTCTTGTAGTTGCCGTGTGACTTTTCTCTTGCCAGGCAACTAAAAAATAAAAAATAAAAAAATTATATACATTCTCTTCGTTTGAAGTTCTCAAGACTTCTTTTGAACTTGATTCTTTATTATTATTATTATTATTTTATAATTATAATAAGGTCATTCAAAATAAATAAATTACACTGATCTTTCGGGTTAAGACATACAATATATATACAAAAATAGAAATATAATTACAAACCCAACAAGTCTCTCACACGAAGGACGGTGCAATTTGACACGAAACCTTTGGCCTCTAATCTCCTATCCACAGGAGTGTACGTTGCCAAAAGAGAGTGAATTGCTTTTTCAGAAGTAATTTCAAGAAACACATTACAATGTTTCCTCATTTGATGAGGTAAAACAAGTTAGAAGAAACAAATAGAAGGACAACTTGACAACAAAGTCTTAACAAGAACGTTTGACTTTTACAATGGTGCGACTCTGTCATCGAACCACCACACCACAATTATAATGAGTACTACTACAACAACATAAATGACTTTAAAAGCCAACTCCTATCATAATAACGCAAAAAGAAAAGCAATTTAACAACAAATTGAAAACAAGGAAAGTCATTCTCATTGTTCTCTTTCTGCTTCTTTTTTTCAGTACCATCCTACTGTATTTTCTATTATTCACACGCCAATTTGGTATCAAAGCTGCTCAAGCAGATCGCGAATGCCTGAAATGCAGATAGAGGATAACGATAATCCATGGTAAACATATCTTTGCCAACCTTACCAAACTGCAGTATGATTTTGTCATGCTCGGGGGGTTGGGTCGGCTGAGAAGTTGGTGGTCCACCAGTGGCTGGCTGTGCGGAAGCAATCAATTGAAAGTTCTTGACCGATGCAACAGTTACCCGCCCTCGAAAATTCAGGCACCAGCATTGTAACTGTTCATGCCATCTCGGGGACTTGTTTTTAAGGACCAAGGGTCTTCCCTTGCCATCCTCATCCTCATTGATTGACCCTGCAATTTCAGAAAATCGCGAGCTGCTAAACTCAACAGAGTGATCGAGGGACTTTGAAAAGGAAATGCTCCGGAACGAGTCCTCCAGGGAGCGGGGGAGAAGCTCTGGTTGACCAGGTACCACGCCACCTGCATCTAGTGCCGAAGCTGGGATTGAGTGCATGATGCAGTTCATCCTTCGCGGGCCTCGTGTCCCAAGTACATTTAGCTCATATGTGATTTGGGCGATGTTGTAGCTGCCTGTAGGGACTTTTGGGGAGACTTTTTTGGAATAGAATCTCCGGCTTGTTCGCCCTGGTGGAGGGATATGGGCACAAGTATATGGAGGTTGTGTGTCGAATATTATAAATTTTGTCCCGAGAAAATTTGATCTGAAATAAGTAATGAAGTTCAACCATCAATGAGAAATCTGGCATTCATTGAAAAATAATCTCAGTTTGCAGCCCACAGAAACATCTCATCTTGTTCGGAAAAAAAAAAAAAAAAAAAAAAGAAAAAAGTATTGAATAAATAATTAATCCAAGCACAATCAATTAGAGAGTTGAAAATACATCGATTTACATGCACTAAAATTTGAAATCCCCAATATGACAAACCCATCAAGTACAGGTTTACTTCCTTGTGAGGAATGAACACTGTTTATGGTGTATAGTTCTAACTTTTCATTCGACTTGTGATACTAAAACCCGATTAAATAATAATGCTCTGTTGAAAGCAGCCAATTCTTATTGACAAATTTAGAGTTTACCACTGAGTGGTCCTGTCTTGTCAGAAAGGGTACTCTTGCAGTATGTTGGTTGTTGTATGGTAAAAACCTTCTCATGACTTTTTTGTTTTCGTTTTTGTTTGTAAACCTTCTCATGATGAAGCAAGGAGAAAGGAGAGAGATTCCCAGAACTCAAAGTAGTTTGCAATAACGATACCAAAGAAGTAAAGTGCATAAAAGAAAGAAATGAAAATATTCCAAGGGCTGTAGCCTAGGAGTACTTCTTCTCCTTCCATAGTAAAAAGTTTAGAATTCAAGTTCCCATAGGGGCTCAGTGGGTGTGTGAGTCTCAATTAGGAAAAAAATAATGAAATGAAAAAATATAGATTCTTTTGGATCTATTTATGTTACCTCAGCTTTCCAATATACGTGCTGCTTGATCTTGAAATATTTTCAGCATCCATTGAGATAACATACTCTGTACAAGTAGTTCGTCGAGTTCTTTTTGCAGAAAGAAGAAATTTCCCATTTTCAACTAGCAAAGCTGTAGATTGGGATCACAACATAACAGGTACATTTAGTAGGAACAGAGACAAATTTCAAATAGTAAAACACGTTTTATTTATAGCCAAAAAAAAAAAAAACACTAAACTACCAACGCAGAAAGGACCAGTTTGACTTATCAACCACCACACAGCTCATGACACAGAACACGAATGGATGGATAAAATTTAAGAGGAAAGGGGAATATATATTGTTTACAATTTACCACAACTCTTGAGTAAATAGAAGAAAAAAAGACGTCGAATGGCCGTGACAATATTTTTATTTTTTTAAGGATCTTATAAACACTGAATTGGCTTTCTCAACAGAGAGTCTGTAGGGAATCAGCTTTTACTTGATGTAACAAGTGGTAATGACAGAGAGTTGTTTAACCTAAACAAGTTTATGCATCCCTAGCCATGAGAAAAATGATCCACTTGGCATCACTGCAACAACAGGGAATAAAGGCCTAGAATTTTCTTGCATTATTGATATGCACAACTTCCAGCATATCAAAGAGGACAATAAATTTACTGAAACATAAAAACTTCGAGAAGTTTTCAATGCCATGAAACGGCGGAAGTTAAAAAACTGGCAAAGTTTGGATCACAGACTAGACAACTGAAAGAATCCATTACCAAAGTGCTTTTTAGAAGGCTGTCAGAAGGAGATTGAAATTAATTGCATAATGCCACCAAGACATATACGGGAAACTTATCAATGTTGATCACCATTAGTAGAGCTATAAGAGCAGCATCAAGATGGAACAAATGTACAATGTACTCTAGGAAGTATCTTTTACATGCATATTTCTTCTGTTTAATTAACCAAACTTAAATTATAAATATTATATGTTAACATTAATGCATATACTCACAATACTATTAATCAGCTACAACTCAAAGCCCAACCCAATAAGAATTTGAGAAATACATAACACTATTAAACAACTACAAGAAAACATTAATCAATTTACTATTGGCATTTATACGTATAAATAAATCTGTAGAACAAAACTTGGGATTATTTTAGTGTATGCAAGATTATTTCTCCAACTATGCAAGATTATTTCTCCAACAGTTCCATTAAAAAAATGCAACCTAGCCTATGCCAGAACTAGATTACTTGTAATAACCTGGTAAGTGTCATTTCTGCAGGTGTGCATTACACATCATGATACCAATAATCAGAACTATTGAAAACAAAATTTCAATATAAATCAAACTGGAAAATCGGTAATATAATAAACCAAAACCAAACAACAAAATGCTTCTTTTTTTTTTACCAAATTGATCAAAGTAATGGAAAAAAAACATAAATTAAAAAATGAAGCAATATTTTCATGGAGTAAGAATATGTAGCAATTTTGGCATAACCAAACCTTCAACAAGATGCTTACCAGGGCTAAGACACAGGTAAAGGTGGTATGTTAGATTAGATTTATCTCTTTTGATGAAGCATTGAATAGTTCCATCACGAGGTCCAGGCTGAAAAGTCAAATATGAACAAAAATTAGGAAATTATTGTCCCTACCATCATATGGAAAAATATAATCCCCATATAGGCAATTTTGGGTTAATCCTATAACTAAATGACATAACAATATCTCAAACAAATTTATCAAATTAGCACAGCAAAAAATTAAATCCATCATTACCTGTTTCAGGGAAACCGGAAAAGTAAGCTTCCCACAGAACTCTGGATTTCTAACAATTTCTTTGCACATACTTCTCCATGAACTACAAACAGCAGCACATGCAACAACATGCTTCCGAGCAGGCCATGTACTCTCACTCTCCTCCAACCTCTTGATCACATCAAAAAGTAGCTCTGGTGGGAGGTTTGCCCAACGACTGTTTTGAATTACCAAAGGCTGGTCATGCAGGTCATGAAATGAACCATGAGATTTCCCCCTGTGATGGCCAGGCAGCCTAACATCAAAACTCCGCCTGGATAAGCTCCCAAAACCATCCCTAACGTCACGAACTATACTGCGGAATGACATTTAAACCCCCCAAGCTGACAGATGGCAAGTAAGATGCCAGAATAATGCGCACACACGTTCTTTTCCTCCTTCCTTCTGTGTGTGATAAATTACATTCCACTTTTAATATTAAAACAACTGCAAATAAACAATAAACAGAAGGTCAGAAGGTAAACTAGGTTTATAACAGTGAAGAAATACAGGAATGAAAAGAGAAAAATGTACCGCCAAATAGTTATAGCCTATTGGTACTTCCTCGCCTTCCAAAGTAGAAGGTCGAGGGTTCAAGCCGCCATAGGACAAAGTGGGTGTGTGAGTTTCAACTAGGAAAAAAAGAAGAGAAAAGAAAAGAGAGAAAAAGACACCAAGAGAAAAGAAAAGCAAAGATGAGAAAAGAAAAAGAGATGGGTGAAAAAGGAAAGCTTCACATGCGCCTGAAAAGGTGGCCTAAATCACCAAAGTGTTGTTAGAAAGAACTTTTTTAGGTTGTTAGACCTACAATAACCAGAGCCTACTGGTTCTTAAAATATGATTTATTGAAGACTATCTTAGGACCCAAGGCTAAAACAGTACTATCTTGAGATCTAAAAAAATTGAATGTCCTTGTGAAATACTAGAGTAAACTCCCATACGGTACGGGACTCAACAACACCCAAAATGTAAATTAGTTGCCATAGGAATACTTCATACAAATTTGACAGCAAGTTTTACATTTCTGGCTCAGCTAAAGTGAAAAGAAACTAAATTCAGCACATGTGCAAAAAGCTTTCTTGCCTAGAATCTAAAGAAAATTAACCAAAAAATGAATTGCACCCACAGGCGAAACAAACCCAAATCTAGATAATTGAAAATACACACAAGAACAAGGGAATAATCATATACAACACACAAATTAAGTTGGTAATGATTTAGCATCATGGCAAGTCAACAAAACAGGCTAAATAAAGAAGCATCAGCACCATCATTGTAGCTTAAACAGTGGATCTATAAGCATGCTTTAACAAAATTATATATTCATATGTATAAATAAGTAATAATTTGGGTGTAAATATAAACAAAATCGGTGCCTTTATCACAAAATAAAGTTTTTTCCCCGGAATTTAATCACAAAATAAAGTCTGAGAAGACTAACCTGTTGATTTTTAAACGCTATAAGCTTATGAAAGCTCCATGACTTCTTCAAAGTTCTGCAAGAACCATGTAAAGCGCAAAGAATTTCTTTAAAATATCACAAAATCGAAGCTCAGAAATCAGAGAAACCTAGAAGTTGACCCAATTTTCTCTCTAGAAACTCGCGAAAACCCAAAAGTTGGGAAAAAAAATTCGATATATACACATAGATGGAGACCTCAAGAAAAATCGAACTGAAAGGCTAAGATTTTTTACAATGTCGCAACGAAAACCTAACACCCAACAAAAACCTAACGATTTGAAGGCAAATCAAGATGTGACTGCAACTACATATATATAATGTGTATATATTGAAGGTTAGTGAAGTGAGATCTGAGATCTATACCTTAGATATGAAGGAAAAAAAAAAAATACAACGAAGACAAGTGACTGTGTGTGTATAAATTCAGAGAAAAATTGTTAGATCTTTTAGAACCCAGAAAAGCGGGTCAGAGATGTATCACACTCTCTCTCCCCCTCTCTCTCTCTCTATCTTCTCTCTCTCATCCGGACTCCAAGAGAACATTTAAATCTAGTTGAACAAACCAGAGAAAAAGAAAAAGGCAACATAATAATATTTTAATTGTTGAATCATACTATATACTATATGTGTGTGTGTATCGATATATATATATATACGTAGTATATGTAAATAATGTATGTATGTGTATTACTTTTGATTGGACCTACATCACCAAACACGGCCACAAGGCAACTACCAAAATCGCGTTTTGACTTTTCCGTCTGATTCACATAACGGAACAATCAGTGTGGCCGGTTTTGCTACTATACGGCTGAGTCCACACACCATTACGCCCACTAATGTAAATGTTACCTCAAAAATAAGGGAGAGACACCTTGTATGATTTATTTGGACATAGAAGAATATGTGTCCAAATTGGACACCACCTTAAAAAAAAAAAAAGGACATCCCATAATTTAATTTAATTTATAGTGTTGATTCAGAATGAGTAGAATTCTTACATTCAAACACTGTATTACATAAATGTATTATTTAATTTAGTTAATAAAATAATATAATATAAAAATTTAGTCATGTTTGTGTGTCATTTTATTCAAAATTTGACTATGTACACCTAATTAAGTAATGCTTTAGCATGGTAATAGAAGTTTCGTCATTTGGGCAAATCCATCTTTATCTGATTCCAAATTCAAATACTCCGTATATTATCAATAGTTGACATTTATGCTAATATATTATCAGTAATTGATATTTAAGTTATATTTGGGACTGTCCAATTTGGTATCGGCAATTTAAATTTGAATTATAATTTGAATATGTCATAATTTGAAGTACATGTTTATCTATGATGTGGCGCAAAAGTAATGTGACAAGTGTGTTTAAAATAGAAAATAATAAAAAGAAAAAAAAAATTGAATATTTATCGGGTTAATCCAAATGGATGCAAATCAAATCATTATTTAACTCTCCCTCTCTTTATTTCTCTCAAACTACTCCGTTGAAACCCTAATATGCTAACATTGGAAGTTTTGACTTTTATCTTTCATGATTTAATGTGTAATCCTTATATATCCTTATCAATTGTTTTTATCCAAAGTACACTCAATTACATAAAATCTGGTTCATATGATTTGATAGAAGATTTATTGATTGCATGATAGATTGTTATTGGTTATTTCTTGTGTTCTTTTTCTTTTGGTGGAAAATAAATCATTACATTTATAGTTATTCTTTCTATTAATCATCCAGAGCTTTATTGGTATCTTGTAATATTATTTTATTTAAAAAATTTAGGATTTAATCTAGATAACCTCTTAAATCTTTTTAGTTTTTTCGTAATATTATTTTATATTGTAGGTTATTTCACTAATTTTGTACCACATCAGGATAAGTATGAACTTCTAAGCATTGTCCGTATTAAAGCATCTCCAGTATGTTAAATTTTTTTTTTTTTTTTGTGTAAATCTGATGTATTAGAGTAGATTTACACAAAAAATTTGTACTAACTATTTTTAAATTCAGCTGTTGTTTTATACCTTTTGTGTAAAAAAGTATCTCCCAATAACAACCAACCACGTGTTATACTGTGAGCACTTCATTTTTATCATTTTTCGGAACATTTTAGCATTCATGCATTTTATTTTTCTTGTCGGAATTATGATTATTTTACAAATGTGTGCTAATTTAATTAAATGTCATTAATTGTTTCTTAAGGGCTATTATAGACTTTTATGATACAAATAGCATATTTGGCATTTGGTATCTCATGGAGGGTATTATGGTCTTTTGTTGTAAGCATGGCATAAATGGAAATTGGTAAATGTGAGAAGGGCCTTTTAGTCATTTCATGGGGGTATGCTTTGGCTTGGTGCATGTTTGACATGTGGAGGGACACATGGCTTCATTGTGTGTGTATATGGTGACTTTTGTATTGTGATTAACATGTTTTAGACAAAATAAAACAATCTGCAGAACAATATTTTCGTTCCTTTGTTCTTCTTTATAGACATTTTGGTTTTGTGGCATTTTAAGGACTTTGTGATGAGAAGTGGGTGGAGACTTGTGAATGAAAAATGTTCCTGAGATTTTAATCTTCATTCTGGTATATAGATTACAAATACTTTCTCACTATTTGGGTTTCAAAAAGGGGAAAAGAGTGTGGTTGCATTCAAGAAGTGTTCTTCAATTTTTACACTTTTGGGTGGCTTTGATTCATTCTTGGATTGCTTTGAATTGTGTTTGTTGTTGAGTTTCAAGCTTTTTTGAGGTAGGATTACTTAACTCTCGCAGCCTTTACCTTTAAGGAATTAATTCTATGTGTTTTGTGCTGAAAACAGTGCTGAAAAATGAATCTGGGTTCTTCATGCTCGAGCCTTAATCTGTAGAATTTCCTGCACAGCGTTCTGAACTTCAACTGACCATAACTTCCACATTCTAAATCCAAATTGAGCGATTTTGGAGTTTAAATTAACTATCTCGAAACAAGCTTTCCAATGATACCAATTTAAGCCTTAGATTCTAACTGTGGAAAAAGTTATGACCCTGTAAACATAGGCTGCCAGATTCGCGCCTTAATCTGCAGAATTTCCTGCACAGCGACTTGAACTTCAACTGACCATAACTTCCTCATTTTAAATCCAAATTGAGCGATTTTTTAGTCTAAATTGACTAGCTCGAAACAAGCTTTCCAATTATACCAATTTCAGCCTTAGATTTTAGCTGTGGAAAAAGTTATAACCCTATAAACATAGACTGCTACTTGAAAATTAGAATATAGGTTGTTATGATATTTCTTGAAATGGGAAGTTTTGTGCTTGATTTTCTAAATGTTATAAAGCACTATTTATGTTGTTATATGGTAAATGTGAGATAGAAAGCATGTTTCTTACGTTATACAATCATGGATTAATTAGCCTGTTAATTTATCATGCTTGTGTGTTGATTAAAATGAAATACCATGATATTGTGTATGCGTTGAGATTTCAATATTTATTTTATTACTAGTACATCATGTTATACAAATATACATACATCTCACATGAGCATGGGGATGATGTTGGAATAAAAAGGAAAGTGTAAATGTTTCATTAAATGGTTTTGAAAGTCGGATAACAGGGAAGTGCCTTGTATCCGCTAGTTTAGAAAAGAAAAGGGAATTGAATTAATGATTTCAAAACCGGATAAGGAATTGCCTTGTCTGTGCAGTTAATGGGAATCTAGAGGAGACGTAGGGAGTAGCTCTACGCGTAGTTGTGTCACTAGAGCCCCAAATGATCACAAGGAGTTGCCTTGTATCAGGGATAGATGATCAACTCTCTTCTCGTGGTACTGGGGAGCAGCCTTGGGCGGATTATATTAACTTTTTGTGATGAAAATGGGATTTTAGGAAGTGAGAGGTGTCAGTGACATTAGCATTGGCATTGACATTACATGACACTTCATTTTATTATCTCATATGTTATATTGTTTTCCTGAGCCTATATGATCCTTTTATCTTTTATCCGTTCTTTGTTTGGATTCACGGAGGTATTAAGGAATGCGCTTTAAGTAATTCCTGCTGAGCTATAGTTGCTTATTCCTATATTATTCACATCTTTTCAGGTCATGGCATGGATGGTATGGAGGGTGTTCCTCATCAACTGTAGACAGAGTCGGGGCTGGTGTTGTCATGTTTTCATTCCGCATAATAGACTCTGTTTTGTATTATATTTCTTAGAATATCCCAGGCATGTAATAAATGTTATTTCAGACTTTGAAACTTTAAAGTTGTAATATGTGCGTCTTACCTATTGATTTTCAGTCTTGTTTTTGTAAAGGGAAATAGATAGGTGGATGTGTGGTTGAGACAGGTTACAGGGATATTTATTAATTTTGAGATTGTGATTGTTTACGTGTTGTGTTCACAATCTAGACTACGGTCTAGGGGCGTGACAGAATTGGTATCAGAGCATGGTTCCTATAATCTAAGGATGACGAGTAGAGGTCTGTTTACAGCTGTGTGTGTAGGGGTTTGCATTGTCTTATGTGCTTACATGTTTATCTGTTATTTGTCTTGTAAGCATGCTTATGTGTATATGTAATTACGTGTTTATTTGATTACGACAAAGCATGTTATGTGTTTAAAGGCTTTTATTCATATGAGTCAGTTTGGGATTGTGGATAGTAACATTGTTTTTGACTTGCATTTCATTGTAGTATGCCGCCTCATAGGAAGGACAGGGCACCGAGAGGCTAAGAGATTGGGCCTGCAGTTGGACGGTCAGGGGAGAGTTCTGCATCTCACCTTGTGGGATAGGGAGGTTTGCCACCGCCAGTGATGTCTGCAGGGGAAGATGAGACAAAAAGACGTCTCAAACTTATCTCTATATTCGTCAGACTCATGCCTGCACTGTTTGAGGGTGGGACTAATCCGTTGTTGGCAAACAACTGGTTTGACTATGTGGAAAATCATATTGATGCTCTGGCAGTTGAAAATGATTATGCGAAGATTCTGTTGACTACCTACAACTTTACTAGGGATGCCAAATTATGGTGGAAGTCAGTATCTAACAGAATAGACGTGAAGACATTGTCGTGGGATGCTTACAAAGAGTTATTTTACAATAAGTTCTTTCTTGCGACTAAAAAATGGGAGCTGCACAAAGAGTTTATCTCTCTGTTCCAGAACAGTTTTATAACAGTGACAAATTACGAGAATAGATTCACTTCTCTTTCTCGTTTTGCTCCGGAGATTGTAAGTAAGGAATCATATAAAGTCCATAAGTTTGTAGAGGGACTCCATTATCGGATTAGGACTTTTGTGGCATCACAGTGGCTATAGACTTATCCTGAGGCGGTAGAAAGGGCATTAATTGTTGAAGCTGAGTTGAATGATAAAAATCAGACTCGGGATCAGTGGAAGCAAAGACGAGCCAGTGGTTCAGGGGCTGAGGGTCAGTCTAGCAAGAGGCAGAGAGGGAGTTCATCTAGGTCTAAAGGACAGCAGTCAGGCCGACCTACTCCTTCGACTTTCGTACCATCAGTAGCTAGTAGGAGTGAGGTCATATGTTTCGAATGTCAGCAGTCTGGCCATTATGTGTCTGATTGTCCACAGTCTTTTTCTAATGGAGCTTGTTT